CCTAAAACTCCAGAAGACTCACAATGGAAAATGCTATCCACATCCAGAGAAAGAACTATGGAGTCTGAATGTAGATGGAAGCATACTATTTGCTCTCCTTCTCTTTTGTTGTTTTGTTTTGTTTCTTCTTTCTCGTAGTTCCTCCCATTAGTTCTAATTCTTCTATACATCATGACTAATGTGAAAATATGTTTCATATGAATGTATAAGTGGAGCCTATATCAGATTGCATGCTGTCTTGGGGAGGGGAGAGAGGGAGGGGTAGAAAATTTTAAATTCAAAATATCATCTAAGTGAATGTTGAAAACTAAAAATTAATAAATTATATTTTTTAAAAAGATTATTAGCTCCTAGAGGAAAGACACCACATTTCAATTTCCTCTTCTGTAAAGTGAGAAAGTTGGATCAGACAACCTTTAAGATCTCTTTCAGTGCTAGAATCCCATTGTGTATATACCCTTCAGTGTCGGGCACCATGCTGTCCATGGAGTAGGCATTTGATAAAGATCTGTTGAATTCATAGATCCTATAAGAATTCAGAAATTGCTGCCAACCGGAATGATTTTGAGAGCTTCGAGGAAGAGATGGGAATGAAGTTGAGCTTTAAAAACAGGATAAGAAAAAAAGAAGAAGAAAAGAAGGGAAAAAACAGGATAAGGTTGGAATAGAGAGAGAAAAGGAGAGAGGCTATTCCAGGCAGATAGAACAAGATAAGCTAAATCAGAGTGGGAATAACATGACATCTTTGGCTACTAGTAAGGGGGTGAGAGTCAGGAGCTGAGAATGGATTGAGAGACTCAGAGAAACAAAAAGGAACTGCAGCTGTTAAGAGGAAGGCATCCAGAGGCAGATGCTTACTACTGCCAGGGCCCATTAATAGCATCAGGCTATAGCCTCAGGACTAGAATTTCATCAGGTGAGCTAAGAAGGATAATTGAGGAGTAGGGACAAAGACCCAGCATTGTAATGTGAAAGAAATCCAGGTGCATGAAGAAGCAAGACTGGGGAGTGAATGAAATGAATCCGCAGAGAATGAGAATAGGGGCCGTGTCCTAATGTGCCCCCCCCCCACACACACGCACGCACACACACACTCCTGACCACACTTAGCACAGTGCCTAGAAATAGGTACTTAGTAAATGCTTGTTGACTGTTGACACACATTCATACGAATACCAATGGAAGAAAATGACGAAAAGCTGCAGAAAGCAAATGTCCTAAACAAGGTATATGAACCATGGATTACTGAGTTCTTAGTTTTATTTTTTGGGAAAAGAATTCAGGGGAGCTACGGAGACAGGGTAACCCAAGGCTTGACATGACTTGAGCATGACAGTATGGCGCAAAGGGAATTAGCTGGATTTGGAGTCAGAGGACCCAGGTTCAGAACCCAACTCCATTACTTACTACCTGTGTGGTCTGGGGCAGGTCACTTGACCCTTCTGTCCTAGAGCTTTTTCATCTGCATCATGAGAGTTGAACCACATACGTTTTGAGATCCCTTCAGGTTCTAAATCTGTGACCCTACGGCAGTGGAATGAAATAAGCCTGGTCAGAGTAGAGAGTTAATTTCGTGAAGTAGCATGAGAAAATTGAGATAGACAATCGACAGCAAGAAGTCATGGAAGATTTTTGAGCCGATTTTTGAAGGGAGTGATATAATGAAAGTAATATTTTAGGAATGTAGCACCCAGGCCTCCTCCCCTTCACCCCAAATTCAAGTCACTTTATGGGTATGGGTAACCATCCATTCAAAATCATAGCACATCAGTTCCCACCAGTCTGTTGGGCTGGGATTGGTTTTTTTTTTTGGGGGGGGGGATTGGGTTGTTGTTGTTGTTGTTGTTTTTAACCAGCCAACCAAAAGACACATTCAAAGCAAAGTGCATTTAAACATCCTAACAAGACACGTGGAAAGAAACAATTACCCTGTGCACCAAGAGTTATACTCTCTCACGGGTGAGCCACCAGCAATAGGGGACGGAACACATCCTAGGAACGCCGGGGAGACAGAGGACTCTCTGCTCTTTGCATGCTCAAAATAACTCATGTCTCTGACATTGCTCATTTCTCTTCTGAGTTGTGGTCTTCTGCTTTGCTGATCTCTCAGCTATGGCACTCTCTGCTGGTCATCTTTACTGATGCTGTTCTTGTCAATCATCTTTTGGTCACTGGACGTAGTGAGGACACCTTCCTCTTAGTGCAGGGGTTCTTAACCTGAGGTCTATGAACCATAAATTGAATTGGTTTCCTTTGTAATCCTATGTATTTTATTTTCACTTAAATTTTAATTTTTTATTTTCCCCAATTATGTAAAAACAATTTTTAAACTTTTTTTTTTACAATTTTGAGTTCCAAATTCGCTCCCACCTTCCCATCCCTCATCATTGAGAAGGCAATTTGATGAAGGTTATACATGTTATTTGCATTTAAGAAGATTATTCTGAGAAGGGGTCCCTAGGCTTCACTAGATTGCCAAAGAGGTCCAAGGCACACAGACAAAAGTTAAGAATCCCCCTCTTAGAAGGAGAGATATGCCAGCTAGTTATGTCGACAACTCCAGGAGTTATTGAATCACCTTTGCCTCTTTTTTCCCTTTAGAAAAAAAAAAACACTCAGGGCAGCTACATAGAGCAATGGACAGACCGCCGGTCCTGGAGTCAGGAGGACCTGAGTTCAAATTTGGCCTCAGACCAAACACTTAATACTTACTAGCTGTGTGACCCTGGGCAAGTCACTTAACCCCAATTGCCTTTTTAAAAAAAAACCATTCAAATAGCATAACAGGAAAACTAGTTATAAAGCATTGTCACCCCTTCCCCCCCCTCAAAAAAACTGGAGCACCTCTCTTACAAATACCCAAAGAATCTGGGAGGAATGGTAGAGGAGAAGAATGAGTACAAATTTAAAGACCACAGTAGTGAAGTACACATGTAGGTAACCTGTATGGCCAAGACAGCTAACAACTCCACAACTTCAGGGCTTTGGTGTCCTCTTTCCTAAGAGTCTTCACAAAATTCACTGTGGGACCAGGGCATTGGTGTCGGAGGTGGATGGGCCACTCTGCTGCTAGGCCAGGCAGGTATGGCATCTCTACTGGACAAGCAGCTCAGCTAGGCTTGCTCTTCACAAGGCATGGCCTCTCAGATTACTTGGTCACTGGACTGGATAAGGCAGGTCTTTTACCTACTGGGTACAGATGCTGTCAGATTGCCCTGGGTGGGTCACTTGGCCATCAGGCTCTTAGCATAGCACAGTATTTCTACTGGATAGTCAATGCACTGAACTCCGGGAACTGACTCCTCTATAGCAGCTAGCCTTCTCTATTTCCAGCCTCTGGCTTGGCTAAGTGTTACTGTGCTTGCATTATGGCGCTCATATGTATGTATTTATCTGTTATTCTGAACTTAACAAACCAAATAAAATTAGCATCTCCATGTATAATGTACACACACATACATACATATATATGGATGGAAGAGAATTGTACATGAAACTCTATCACATAGCTTTCTTCTTAAGCATATGATAAATTCAACATGTAACTTTCAAAACTGTCCTGCTCATCTGTGATTCCTTCTGACTTTCTTTCTATATACTTGTGGGCATTTTCTTTTCTGAGACTGGGTCCCCTGTCTTACCCTGGCTGGAAGTGTTGTGGCTGTGTCCCACTTCCAATCAGCACAGAAATTTGAACCTGTTTTGTGTCCAGCCTGAGCTGGTTTGCCTCTCCTAAGGCAGCCTGTACCATGATCACCACCACACCCCATCTCAGAGGCTCACCACTTGGTGCCAGACTCAGTACAGACACCTGGTCAGCGTTAGCCCTACTATAGCTCAGAACTCCCAGACTCAACAACAGCCTCAACCTCCCCAGTAGCAGCAATTACAGCCATGTACCATCATGCCTGGCTCTTTTGGGCGTTTAAAAAAACTACTTCAATGACCCTCTTTCTTTACATTTCCTTCCTCTGTCCCTCCCTCCCTCCCTTCCTCTCTCTCTCTCTCTCTCTCTCTCTCTCTCTCTCTCTCTCTCTCTCTCTCTCTCTCTCTCCCCCTTCCTTCCTTGTTTTGAAAACGTTATGCTTATACCTCCACCCTGCTCCCCACCATGCCCTTGATTGGGGTAGAGGGGAGAAGAAAAACAAAACCCTTTACATTGCTCTTCTGGGCCGAAGAAGAGTTCCCTTTCAACAAGGGCAGCCTAGAATTGACAGAAGCCTCTCCTCTTTGACTCCCTGTGGGCTTGGGCTTTGAGGTTTGTTACCTCCAGGCAGGAGGTTAAAGAGGTCTAGCCTCTCCAGTTTAAAAGTTCTTCCTGATTGAGAGCAGGAGTCTCTCAGTGAGGGTTTGGCTCTATTTTTATGCAAACTCCAGCCAGCTAGCTAAAGAACACCGAAATTTCTTTGTCTGTAGAGCTGATTCTTCTGTCTTTTGGACTTCCTTCATCCATTATCTGAGTTATGGCCAGAAAATTCCTTTTAACACCTATCATATGGAAGATCTGTGCAAATCACCTCAGGAGTTCCACTTTTAAAAATGCAAAGAAGCTGTAGTGAGGAGACCCTTCTCAGTTCCCCATCCCTGTTATACCCCTAATGTTCCATGCAAATCATGGAGGCAAAGATTCCGTGGCAAAGATCTGACTTCCCACCAGACCAAAAAAATTTTAAAAAATCACTGTGTTTCCTAGAGAAAGTTCAGTCAGGCAGCATTATGTAATGAAACAGAGGTGGGACAGCCCAGAGACAAAAAGTTCAATTAAGAGACTGTTGAAATAATCCAGGCAAGAGATGATAAAGATGGCATTGGGACAGGAAAGTAATGGCCAGATCTGAGACTGATGATGAAGAATTACTGCATGAGGGAGACCAGGGAGAAGGTCCATTTTTCTCATGTAAAGTCATCCCAGTTAAATAAACAATTTTGTTTTTAGACTAAAATTGTTTCCAATTAAGAAGCATTTATTTTTCTCTCTCCCTCTCCTCACCCCCAAACAGAAGTTACCAGACTTTCACAAATGGAAGAAAGATTCTTGGCAGCTCCTTTTCTTCTGCATTGAGGGAATTGAAATGGCCAACGAGCATTTATGAAGGTTCTTCTGTATGCCAAGCACTGGAGAGAAAAAGAAGAAACAAAAGTTTCATCATAAGGACATTCTAAAAGTGTTTGAAAAATGGAAAAACCTTTGCTCCCTTCTTAAAATGCATTCCCCAGTCTTATGTTCCCATCAAACTACTCATCCTTCAAGCCCTGCCTCTTTTATTGAAGTCTTCTTCAACCACTCCAGCCATTATTTGTTTTGACCCTCTGTGAATTCCCATGATGTGTATTTTCTGTATCACAGACTTCAGTACTAAATCAGCAGATCCTAATCTGTGAACCAAAGATACTGTGATGGTTCCACGGCATTATTTCAAGGGCTCCCCAAACCCATGTGAATCCATAAATATGCAGACATATATACATTCTATAGATCAAATATGTATTTCCTTATTAGCCCTATTAATTTTTACCAACGTAGATGCTATCATGGCTAATAAAACATTCATAGTAGCTTCTCGTCTTTGCGTATTTTATCAAAGGACACCACACCAACAATTACTATCCTATGGTGAACTGTGAAATGTTTTGATGCTAAATGGGGATCCTCATACTTGAAAAGGTTAGGAGTCACTAAACTACATATGGCTGTGTGATAAGCGGTGGAGTGGTAGACAAAGGTTGGTAAGTGGCCATTGCTAAGAGCCCAGCCGGGTCGGGTTCAAAGCTGAGGTCTTCTGCCAAAAGGTGTCAATATGGGGAAGTACAGGAAGAAGTCAAGGTGTGAGACTGCCGCTAGGAATGAGTAATCTAGAAACCATTCACCAGGTAATAAAGCCAGGAAACAGAGCAGAGGTGGGGGTGGGCTTAAATAGGCTCCCTGAGGCTTTTAAGTGTACCCCACCTCCATAGGGCAGTACTTCAGGGCAGCTGCTATTCCTGAGAGAGAGAATACTGGATTTAGGATTAGAAGACTTTAGGCTAAAATCCCTTTTTCTCCCCTTAATTGTTGTCTTATCTTGTGCAAATCACCACATCTATAAGATAGCACCATTCGTCCTGCTTAATCCCTGGGGTTGTTGTGATAATCAAATAAGCAAAATAGAAGTGAAGGTGGCATTGGAAATCACACGATAATGTTTTGATAATTCTCTAATTATGTCTCTGAAGTAGACTGTAAATTCCTTGAGGGCAGGGACCCTTTCTTATATTTCTTTTATATCTTCCACAGCACCCGACACGGTGCTGGGCACAGAGTGGACATTTGTCAATCAAGGGGGGGAAACGTTGATCGACAGCTGTGTAGTTAAGTATTCTGCCCAATAGCTCACCCTCTGGGTGAGAGTGCTGTGTGCTCTCAAAAGAAAATTCCCTTGAAATCATGGAGCTTACAAGTATTTCAGAGCTAGTGACTATAGAATGCTAAAGCTCTGTCAGCAGTCCGCACATAATCAACTCTTTGAGCTGTTTTCACTTCTTTCGGTTCTAAAAGTCCGAACTCCAGAAAGCCCCATCCCCCCACAATGACAGCTGCAGTAACAATAGAGAAAGTCCGGGGGGGCCAACAAATCACACCACCGTGGAAATTTTAGGTCAGTGTATTTGGATCGTTGGCTGCACAATGAGACAAGAGGTCAGAGATTAAATTTCACTTCCCATACCCAACAAGGGTTAGCTTGAGCCTCTCAAACCCTCTCTTTAAGCTGGTGTATGCATATGGCAAATTCTGCCCCTATGGCAAATAGTCAGAATTTTTTTCACTGTGGTTCATGAAAACCTTTCTATAAAAAAGCCATAAAATAATTTCTCTATGGTCTTTGCCTGAACAAGACTGAGAAGAGCTATGATTTTTTTTTTTACTCTGTGAATCATTTAATTTTCTATTTTTGTGTTACTTTTAGTATTACTAAATATGAAATTACCCAACCTAGGGGGCAAAATTCCTGTATGAATATATATTTTTTCTTAATTGTGGGAATTTTTTGAAGCCACTGGTTCCCATTGCTATGGGATAGTAACCAGAACAAAGTTTCCAAAAATACCACAGCTTCCCTGCTACTTAGACCCTTCTCCTTAGGAGGCATTCATTCAAAGATTTCTATGGTAGCTAATACCAAATGCAAAAATGCTTAGCTACGTATGCATACAGCCATGACGATCTTCCTCTGATTCCACACGACCGAGGAAGATATCCAGGAGAAATTGCCTTTGTTTGATTTGGTTTTTGATATGTTATGAGATCAATAGGGAGCACATTTTCCATCCCCCAGGGCTGTAACTTGAGATTTTTGCACCTGGGGCAAATGAAGTAGGTAGAACCCTTAGCCTATGAAACATTCCCTCAAATCACACCCTCATAATCATGGCAAAGCCAAGAGCTTTCTGTCTGGTGCATTACAGGGGAGCCAGTTCTGGCTGAGTCATGGAGAAGCTCTTCTGGGGCATAGCAATTGGGGAAGAAAGTCGGCCACATGGTAGCTCTCCGTTCGCTATCTTGCTATCTAGGTGCTAAGCTCAGTTGAGGCATTCTGACAGAGTAGAACAAACGCTAACTCTAGAAGTCAGAGAATGCGAGTTCAAATCTTGTCTCTCATGCTTTCTAACTGTAAAGATGGGCAAGTCATGGCCTTCCTGGGCCTTATTTTCTTCATTTATATAAAATGAGGCTGTTACTAGATGGCTTTGGGGTCCTTTCTGGATCTAAATCTCTGATCCTATGATATTATTTCTGCAAAAGGATTACAAGTGGTGTTTCAATATTGGTCCCTTGGGGGGAAAACCCTGGTTGCCCCCCATCCTAATTATAGCACCGCTATCTCTCAAGTTTCACCTCCTTTCCTAAGTCCAAGCTCTCTTCTGATCCTATCTTATCCAGGACCTACTAAGGTAACCTGGAACCGACTAAAGGGAGAAAAATCATTGCCAAAGTATCGGTGTCAATTGCATGCCTCTATATCTGCCCTTCAGTTCACATCAAAAGGGACCTTTACTAAGAGAGACCAGTTAAATAAAGATATTTAATGCATGGTCTCAAATCTTGGTTTCCCAATTTGCCAGGGGGTTCAGGACCTAAATGGCTTCTGATGTTGCAGATGTAATGAATGTACTGCAAAGCTGTTTTAGATGAAATTCACTTCATTCCTCAGACCCCCTTTGGTCAGTCGTTCCTCTGGGCTTTATGGTTTGTGAGGAGTATCAAATCCCTCCCTAGCCCTAGGGTTCTGATCCCATTGACTCCATCCTTAGCGCTTGGACTGTCAGCTATTGACTTAGTATTCCCAATGAAAAGCAGCTTCTGCTCACCTCAACAGCCATTTGAAATTTAATATTTGTAATTATGAACTAAAATACCGAATAGAATGAGCATTTTCGTACAGAGTACAAAAGAGAAAAAGGAGAATATATATGAAACTACAAATCTCTTATTACATACAGCTTGATTTTCCTTTGAAGAAACAAATGAAATAATATTTGTAAAATGCTTAGCACAGTGCCTGGTACATAGTAGGAGCTTAATAAATGCTTGTTCCCTCACACCTTGTCCCCAAAGTGTGTAATAAATTTAACATGTAACTTTCAAAGCTGGCCTGCTTGTCTGTGTTTCTGTTCTCTTCAGTCATGTTTTTCTCCTTTCTTTTTCCCAACAGACTTTCCATGTGCATTGTCTCCCAGACTGTGAGATTGTAAAGATAAAGGCCAAGTCTATATTTTCTGTATTGCATCTAGCATAGTATGAATGCTTACCAACTAGTAAGCAAGCCAACCACTTGGATGTCCCAGAGAAGACAAACAGAAAAACCCAGTAGTCAGAGCTGCTCAAAGGGTCAACAGAAACCTATGGAACCCAAGAAATCTTTTTAAATCAGTTATAATTTTCTATTTTCTAGCTTTAGGATCAAGAACCCTTGAGTGCTAAGGGCTTCCCAAAAATGTACCAGCAGCTCCAACATTGGTAATCAAGGCAAAACTTTATATAAGGAGACTTTTCTATTTATAATCTGAAATTGTATATGTGTGTGTGTGTGTGTGTGTGTGTGTGTATATAGATATACACACACACACATATGAAAGCATTAAAATGCAAATCACAGCTACTAAAAATGAATTGCGCTTGAGAAGAAACTAGAAAATAAATGAGATCATTGTCTTTATGCACTAAATTTAGGCATAACTCCTTGTAATTGGGCAGGTGGGTTTCATTCATAAATAAATAAGATGGATTAGTGGGAGGTATGAGAATAAAGACAAGGAGAGAGATTCCCATGGATTTCTTTTGAAATGATTTCTTTGCATCCAGGCTCTTCAACTATCCATCCTTTAAACAGTAACCCAGCTGTTGTTCTTACGGCATATATGTATATGGAGATATATATATACACACATATATATATGTAATATATGTGTGTGTTTGTGTGTGTATATGGATGTATATGTATATATGTATGTATATGTGTGTGTGTGTGAATATGACCATGTCACTCTACTACTCAAAAATCTTCAATGGTTCTCCATTATTTCTAAGATAAAATGCAAACTCCTTAGCCTAGTACTTAAAGTCCTCCACAGCCTGGCTACAAGCTACCTTTCCAACTTTATCTTATATAACTCAGCTTCATGTACTCTGCATTCCAGGCAGACTGGTGTACTGGCTGCTCCCCAAAATCAGCATTCTATTTCCCAACTCTATGCTTTCCCACAAACTGTCCTCCATGTCTGGAATGGGCCTCCTCTTCACCTCTATCCCTTAGAATTCTTGGTTTCTTTACATGGCAGAGATTCCTGTATTCATGTGCAAATGTTCATTTGTGTTTGTGTTTATCATGTTCATAATAATACTAATAACTGTGTGACCCTGGGCAAGTCACTTAATCTCCATTGCCTGGCCAAAAAACATCATCATCATCATCATCATCATCATCATCAATAATCTTACAAAAAGAATACCTCACTTCCTTCAGGATCCGCTAAGGTGATATATCGTATGCAAAGCCTTATCTGATCTCTTCCTCTTCCTTACCTCCTCCTCGTTAGCAGAGCTA